CCTGCTGGCTGGGGTCCCCATGTTAATGCTGGACTGTCCTGGCTGGCTGGGGTCCCCATGTTAAGATGGTTTCCACTGTGCTCGGATGCTGGGGAAAGTGTTGGGTTTCTCAGTGGCTTCTAAGAGCGAAGCAGTGGCTGTAAACTGATCCCTGTTTCACCTGTTCCCGAAGAATAGAAACCTGAGCCGGTGACAGCTCTCACCCCACCTGACAGCTGCCGCACCAGGGCAGCAGCAGGCCTGGCACCTGATACAGGCAGGTGGGCAGCACACTGCAGGGAGCCTCTCGAGAGCCGGTCCGATCTCCCTCTCCGAGCTGCAGGATGGCTTCAGTCTCAGTCTTCAGACTCGGGGCTGATGGGCACAGGACTCCAGGACTCTGAGCTGCCCAGGACATTTGCAGCTGGGGATCTGGACACAGCGGACATGAGCGAAGGCGGCAGGCAGCCACATCACAACCCCAGAGGGGCTCTGTAGGTCTCCACCGCAGAAGAAAAGGTCAGAAGTAAATGCAGGGAACAAAATGTAGAGGTAAAAATCTCAAATTTGAACTACATTCAAAATGAAAAACGAAGTAGAAAAATTTGGGGAAAATTCATGAATGAGGAATCTGTTAATTACTCTCTAATTAGATCAAATATGAATTAGAACTCCACTTGTTTTCACACCATAAAAAAAGATAAGATGACCTCCTACCTAAACGCAAGCTTTAAAATAATCAGTCAACATTATTCATGGTTGTTTTGTAGCTGCTGTAGGATTGAAACAGAAATGAGGTGCTTGAATTTCTTCTTTCAGTAAGACTGAAACCAGTTTCTGAGATATATTAATGTTTCCAAAGCAGTTTCATACAGAGTAGTTCAGTTTTAATTATTCAAGAAACGTATTCCAACATTTATGAGCAAAAACTCTACTTCAAGTTTTAATGTCTTTTGCTTATAGACTATTGAGATTAATATCTTTAATTTCTTCTCTGTTTGAGGATACCACACCATTTTCTAGGAAGTGTATCCATAAAAAAGAAGGAAAAATTCCTTTGTTTTCTGACCACTGGTGCTAGAGATGCAAACAGGGCTGAGGGCTGTTGCTGTGGGACAGTGCTGGACAGGGTGGAAGAGTTTGCTGGACATCTCGAGGCACACAGAGGATTGAGGGTGACCGTCTTGCTTTCCGTGTTTCTCCCCTCAGCGAGGATGCCCCTGGAGGCAGGGGAGGCTCAGCCGGAGATGGCGTCTGCCTCGCAGGGGCCTGCAGAGGGCAGCGTGGAGCTCGCGGCAAAGCACGGCAGGGACAGCCGCAAGCTGGACTGCATCATCTGTTACTCCTCCTTCAACCTGGCCGACAGGCTGCCACGCAAGCTCTACTGCGGCCACACGTTCTGCCAGGCCTGCCTGCGGCGACTGGACGTGTTGCTCAATGAGCAGCTCTGGATACCCTGCCCCCAGTGCCGCCAGAACACCCCCCTGCCTCGCGGGGGCGCCAGCACGCTGGACCTGGACCTGGCGGCCTTCCTAGCTGCCAAGGCCGAGGCGGAGAGCCAGCGGGCTTGCACACAGCAGGGTGGCGCCGATCTGGAGCGCAAGCTGTCGTCGTGCAAGCAGCCAATCACACAGCAGCCACCGTCGGTTTGGTCCCGGGGTACTCCCTCCGAGCCGCACTTTCCCAGGAGCCCCTGCTGCAGGACGTGCTTCTCCTGCTGCTGCGCGTGAGCGGGAGGATCGTTCAGATGCCTTCGAACTTCACGGCTCCCCCCTCTGTGAACATATCGCACGGTCTAAACACTTTCTAGTCACAGGAAGACTCCTGACTTTGTCTTGAATGGCTGATTCGTGTGTGATCAATCAACACCCTTTTACTAGTATCGGTTTCTTTGAGCAGGAAGCAACAGGCTGTTTCCCATGATTAAAGAAGGTGAATTCATTTAATGAAACAGGATCAGCTGTCTTGCACTGGACTGTATGGTCATGTGATTAAACAGCGCCACTTCGTCCCTTTTTCTCAAGCACACAGTGTCTGTGTACTTGTCTGTACCGGTGCCTATGGTACTATAAGCCACCACAGCCAGTCATGTTTCCACCTGAGAGGGGAGACTGGTAGAGAGGAGCACCTTGAGGGCAGCAGAGCCTCACAGGAGCTTTCTCTCTCTCGTTCTTCGAGTTTAAGGTAAAATCTGCGAGACCTTTGCAATTCACAGCTAGAATTTAGTTATTAAAATTAGTGTTCAAGCCTTGTGGTTGTTAGTTTTTACTGCTACTGTTATTCATCATATTGGAGCATAGCTAATGTGAAAGAGTTAATCTCTGCATTGTAGATCTGGCTGGTTTTCTTTGTTATTGCTTAAGCTTATCATTTGTTGAATACACTAGCTTTCTGTGGCTTGTGAGCAAAGGCCCAGGTCTGCAAGTACTGAGGGCCAGTGTGGTAGCTGTGTGCGCGAGTGGAGCTGTTCAACTGCAGCAGCTCACAGCGCACCTGTGGACACTGAGTCACATGGCCTGAGCACACCTGAGGCCTGTTTCCATAACGACACCCCCTTCCCTCCGCCTCCCTGGAGCCCTGCTCCACTGCGAGCAGCAGTTCAGCAGTCTCCAGCACAGCCGGCACCCTCTCTCCTCTGCAGGTGCTCTTTAACTGCTGTCAAGTCACTGAAACGATTAGATTTTGTGTTTTTCACTTCACAGCCTGTGAGCTCTTCGCACTCGGACCCCCGGAGCCAGGCCACAAGAACAAGGACAGGTAAGAGCTGACACTCCTGTTTTCTTACACTGCGCTCAGAAGAGCTCCGGCTCTCTGCACCAGGAGAGGAGGCAGGCTGGCTCGAGACAGAGGGACCGCTGCTCTGTGTGTGTAATGGGAGTCTTAACCTAAGAGCTGTGCTTATCTGCGTATGGGGAGCAAGTAATCGCTGGGTGTTTCTACGTGGAGAGCTGTGTGCAGCAGACAGCTGTTCACATGAACACGGTGACCACTGGGGTCCAGAGGCCGGACTGGGCCCGGCAGGCAGTAAGCCACACCGCAGTGCTGCCGATCTGACAGTTCACTTCGCACCGAGCTCAGGGGCGCCATTTTAAACTGATGGTTTTGGTTACATGACTATTCTGCCCACAGTCGCAGCCACAAAATGCGTCTGAAGAGCAGTCTAAGCTCACATTTCTCCGTCTCTCATTTACAGATATAAGCTGTGGACTGAGAATGGGGACTCAGGGTGCAGCTCCTGCCTCTGACCCTCCCCGACAGGATCCCCAGCATCTCTCATCCAGCCCTCTGCCCAGAGAGGCCCCTGTGTGCTACAGCTTTTGTGGAGCGAAAATCAGAATCTCCAGAACCTCTGTTGTTGTGCCCTGCTGGTAAACGCTGAGAGATGAGGGCATTTCCAGAAATACCTGTCTCCACAGAGCCAGCCCCTCTGGGCCATCGCCTGTAAGGAATCACCTGAGCGTGAAGCAAACAGGAGTCAGCTGTCAGCAGCTGCTGCTTGTGAAGTCCCTCCAGTCTGGAACCATGCTAGTTTACTCTCGGAGACAATCCCTCATCCAGCGGTGGTTTAAGCAGCACTGAACTTGTTGAGCGTTTAGCAGTTTGGTTTGTGGACTGGAAGCTGTTCATTTCAGAGTATTCGTATCTGCAGGCTGAACGGGGGGCTGTAATAAGCTATTGGAGTGGTGAGCCGGTCTGTATAGCGCTGGAGACTGAGCTGGCCAGTTGCTCCGCAGGGCAGCCCAAGAGCACAGCGATGTCTCGGACACACCTGCCCTTCCTGAGGCCAGCCGCTGCCCAGCGTAGCTGATCAGGGCACCCGGACTGCTTTTCTGCGGCACGTTGCCCAGCACAGCCCCGACACCCAGTGTCAGCCATGGCCGAGGAGCCCCCCCCGCCCCAGCTGGACTGTGCCATCTGCTGGAGCCCCTTCGACAACGCCTTCCGGACGCCCAAGCTGCTGGCGTGCCACCACGCCTTCTGCCTGGAGTGCCTGGCGCGGCTCAGCCTGGCGATGGACCCCGAGCCGCAGGGGGGGCTGTCCTGCCCGCTGTGCCGCCGCCTCACGCCCCTGCACGACGCGCAGAGCATCGCCGAGCTGCCTACAGACCAAGCCCTGCTGGACCGCCTGCGGCTGGAGGCCCGGCCCGTGGCCCTGGAGGACGGGCGGCTGTGGTACCGGGCCGCCCCGGCCCGCTCCTGGCTGCGGCGCAGCCGGCCCACGGTCTACACGCTCAGCCTGGACGTGGAGCGCCGGCTCCGGGCCGGGCAGAACCAGGTGGGGCCCGGGGAGGAAGCTCTGGTCTCCGAGAGCGAGGAGGAGGAGGAGGAGGAGGGCTGCTGGTTCAGCCCTCAGTTCCGCGTCTTCACCTACCTCACCTCAGGGATCTTCGGCATCTTGCTGCTGCTCCTGCTCTGCTTCCTGTGGGCCCGCAGGGACCTGTGGGTGGCACCCTGAGACCGGGGACCTGGATACCCCTCCAGCAGGGGGGGCGGGGGAAACTGCAGATTCCCACCAGTGGCTCCTTCCACAGGACTGCAGAGACCCGTAACCCTTGTGACACAAGGCAGCGCCTGCTGGCAGCTTACCTCCCCCTCCTCTGGCCCCCAGAACCCACCAGCTGCGCCTTGTCAGCTGCAGCAGCCTGATGCCACTGCCCGGCCACTCTGTCCTTCACAGTGGACAGCAGCCCGATGCCACTGCCCGGCCACACTGTCCTTCACAGTGGACAGCAGCCCGATGCCACTGCCCGGCCAC